TCGAGAATTGTTTACGGAGGTATGCAAGTTCGCAAGGGGAAAAGAAGCTAGTGCGAATAGACGATCATCAAAGAAACGTTCCTGGAGCTTGATTCGCGAAGGTTGGGGGTCAATTGAGTTGGGTGGAGAAAATGAGTTGAAGGGTGGTTGTCTATGGGAGAGAACAGACAGGTGAGGTGAGAGAATAATTAGTAATACCTAGGTAGTAGTGACGGGACGAGATCGAGGGATGGATGAACTGTGAATTGTTGGAGAACGATATGAGATGAGATATACGTTGGACGAATTCACCCAAGATCAAATCAATCCACCCGTTGAAGATACCACTGATGTTGATTGAATGTAGTTGCGATTCGATCCGATTTGTGAGATTTGAGACTTCTTGTTCAGCCTGCTGTTAAATGTATTATCGATAAGTAGGTCAGTACCTGTACCTGTACCAATATAAACGTAATCTTAGTCCTTAGTCCAGCAAGTACAGAGATACTAAGGAAAGACGAAGAGGGAGACGAAGGGCTAGACTGATAGAAGAAGGTTTATGCCAAACGGTGTATCTTTCTTGCTTCACCGTGGTCGCAGGGTGAATGTGGTTGGTACATCCGTACTCTTATCAATGAGGGAAGTGGTCTAGAAATTCCCTTGGGCTCAGATCAGATGAGACAAAAATGGTCAAGGAGGCTCGAGGGAGGTAAGATTTTAGGAATCGAGGAGAAGGAAAGGCTAATGATCCTTTAGCGACCAGCATACATTCCAAAGGGGGGCAGAGCATCTACTGGTGGCAGTTCTGCGCAGCCACGTTGTTGGAATTGGAAGTGGAAGTCGTGAGATGAGACAACTCCCACAGTCTAATAAGCCTTTAGAACCAAGAGGGGATAAAATTATATAACATAAACATACAAGACCGCTCTGATTCCGAATATAGTGAATCAAGTTGAGTACCGATTGGGTACGATACAGACTCTTCGTAGGAGGAAAAACAGGCCGGAATTGACCACTAGCAAAGCCCTTGAATAAATCCTATTGTTCCATTCTAATTCAGAGAATTTAAATGTTTAAATACTTTATAATTAAAAGATTATTCAAGGATTTATTAGATATCATTAATTTTTGTATTTTTATTATCTATTGATTTATTATAGAATTTATTAGAATAATTAATTTAACCTCTTTTTTCTCCCAAGCAGAGTATAGGTAGGTAGGTAGCTACAAGAAGGATGACCATTCGAGATACCAAACACTCAGAATTTAATTACCGTTGCAGATCAAATCTGCAGGTATGGATGGAGAATATGTATCAGTTTTTATATTCGTTCCTCGGTAGGGTATTCATATTCTCCTCTCATGGCGTAAGGTACAGGAAGAATGGTCACAGTAAGGAATATCGATGTTCTTCGTATATTGACCCCAAGGAACGGGAAAGATTGAATGTCGTCTGTACTCCTCACATTCCGTCAAATATATATAACTACAACTGATTTTCGAGGCACAATAAGGACCTCCCGTTGTTCTCCAATACCGAAAAGATACAATGAATCTTCGGAACCCAGTCCATACATACAAATGACCCGACATTTCAATGTCCAACAGAGTTTGATCCGAGACCAGGAATAACCTTGGGTCGATGGAACCAAGAGAGTGTTTAGCCTACGAGATGCGATTATTCCTGCATGGTGGCACTTTTAAGGGTTTCAAATATAGACCCTCAACCAAGGAGATGTCGCGATGAACATAAGGACGGGTCACATCTTATTCGCTGATCGAAAGATGACATATAGAGAAGATGAACGTGGCGATATGAACTTCCACAACGCATCCTTTCATCTCGTGTTATTTATGCTGTAATCCATGGATCTTCCAGTATATAGCAATTTCTCCATGCTGAAGAGTGTGTTGTATTTGATGATCCAAACAGATGGTGTGTACATATAAGATGATGAGATGGAGTCCTTGTGTTCGAATGAGGATGTTGATATGTACTCGTGAAATTATAGATATACATACTAGGTAGTTATTCATTCGCCACCAATTCCCAAGCATTTTGAATAACATCGTGTTCTTCGTATTACAAGATTATCGTCATACAGCACCGCTGCCACTCAAAGCCAGGATGAGAGTACTCTTTGCACATGATACTCCTTGTTACGGTCTATACTCCACGAAACTTCTTTTTGGAGACTCCCATAAGTAAATCTTAAACTTCTCAATATTGGAAAGGCTGGTCCGTCGAGAAAGATGCCAAAGGTCTAGCTAGTAGTCAAGAACCAGACTAAAGTATGTACCTCGAAAATCCTCCTGTCGGTCGCCGGGAACAATGTTGATGATTTACCGCTTCTTCCATTACTAGATACACCACATCTCAAATAACGCTTGATTCTATTCAAACACGCGGCTACCCACATGTCCAGTTTGACAATTTCCCCTTGATTTTGAATCTTTACTTCGAACTCCTTGGACGAGGCTGAGTACATAATTTACGTAGCTGCTACGTAGGTTGAAAATAGTTCATCGGAAGAATCAAACCTAAATTGCTCTTACGTCGACTTTCCTTCCCTGAATTATATAATTTATGCTCCATACCATTGTTCTGATCCGGTAGGAACGAAATTATCAGCCGAGAAAGATAATTCGATCGCTAATGCCTAATTCGGCAACTCCGCCTATCTGTCCTGTCCTAAAACACTACATCGATGTTTCAGCGTCAATTTGATGATCCTCCTTAAAGAAACGCCTGGATTTGTTTCGACCGCGTTTTCCAACAAGAAATTTTTACCCATGGCCCATTGATCACCCCAATCACAAAGGGAGTTGCAGAAAATATGGGATCGAGGGATGATATACCATATCCTTTTCTTCAGACTCCAGAGTTGACCCTGTCTGATTGAATTTCAAAGGGAGATTATTTGTGGAGAGCAAATCACAAGAATAGAACTCCGTTCTAGACCCTTCATTCAGATCATTGTCCCCTGTCGCTTACCAAAAGTTTCATGCCGGTCACCAGTGCCGCGGCCTTTTCGTTGGTGGGAGAGCAGGGGTGTTGGAATGTCACGTGAATAAATTTGACGTCGTTCTTGTCGAATCTAGAGGTGTGCCACACCGAGAGGGGGGAGAAGCTGTTATGAGCTTGATTATTATCCGTGATTCATATCAAGCACAACGCGCTATATAGCACCCGTCCAACGAGTATCAGGACAAACCACCAACATATCGCCAGCAATTTCCAACCGCCGCCTCAATGACACTCACCAACTTTTTCAACCAACTGACAATCATCCGCATGAATCAACTCCAAGCTCAGCCCCTAATCTTATCGGACCTGAAACTGATACCTACTCAGCATCTACCAACCCACTTTCTGGGTGACGACACCTATCATCCTACATTGAACCAACGCCCAGCGTAACACAAACTATAACAAGGTTAACCATAAACATCAAACAGTCATATAATCGCATTACACCTCACATGATATGCATAAAAGGCCGTACAGTCTGACGCACAAATTCGTCCATCCCTCATCCCCTGCTTACACGTCGCCATTCCCTCGGCTCCTCTTCAGCCCTGTCTAGACTATGCCTTGTTTCGTATTCAGAGCTCTCGGTTGGAACTGATGTATTCTACGGCGGTGTATTTAACTTTTTCGTGAGAGCAGACGTCCATTCGATGTTTTAGTGAAACAAACCATCAATCTGAATATTGCTGTGATGGTATAATCAATGATGTGATAGCCAAGTAGCTGTCTGATTAGCTGGAGGTTTCAGGGACATATTCAACGATAGTCTCTTGGTAAGCAGTCAAGTGGAATTGTATATAGTTTTTGTGGTACTAGGACTGTTGCTTATATGTTGGGAGGTTTTACTTTACTGAGGTAAGTGGGCTGTTCCCGTGTTCTTGGAGGAATGATGATAATTGTTGTTGAGTTTGTGGTTTTTTCCAGCATCTTGTTTGTCAGTCTGAACCTGTAATGCTATCACGGTTACTTATCGTTGCAGAAAGGTTAGTGTCTTTAAATTTAGTATGTGCGGACGTTGCATATTAGATTTCTATGAATTTGTCTGATGCGGCCAGGAATACACCTGTTTTCCATATGGAATAGTTCTACCTATATAGCAAATAGCATAACAATTTAGTGATTTTTTCGTTTGGTTGTTCCGCACCGGGCTTTGTCATTTGCTCTGTTCGCAGCGCCGGTGCCATAATTCGAGAGATGGCCTGCCTTGTGACTGTTTGTAGCCGAAAAGTTTCCGCCCCGATGAACCATCTCATAATTCATTCAGTGCGACTGATGGTCTTACTAGCAGTATTATTGTAGACCTCTTCTTATTGCAGTAACTCCCGTAGCAAGTTTATTGTCATATCTCACCTCATTTAGACCATGGGAAAGGACACATGACATCGAGCTCCGGGAACCCCCAAGGAGCCATCTCCCTCCCAACTTTTTGATATTCTAAATTGATATTGTTGGTTCCTGATGACGGATAGAAATAAACTTGTCTTTAAGAAAAACTTGAAGGATATAAGCAGGAACAAAAATTAATGAGAGCGTTATGAATGCGTTGGTGTTAACGAGACTTGTTCAGTCTCTCGCTTAATACAATGGAGAACGATACTTTAACGCCAACTTCTCAATTGTAGATCTTGCAGGCTACTGCTTATAGTTCTGAATCCTGAATTAAATATCTTGAAGGTAGGTTTTGACTCGTTTGGTTTCACTTCATTCACATTTCATTTCACACTTCATTTTACACTTTTTTATTATCATTGTCGTCTTCTGAATCAAAGCCAGCCCTATCAACTATACATTTATGGGAATGAGTCATAGTCTCTGAACTCTGGGTTTAGTTTCTGGATTTTGAGCATCTTGTCCACATTCTCTTTAGCTTTCTTTGTGTACTCCGCTGCTATATCCGCTGCCTCCTTGCGCCGCGAATCATATTCCCCTACAAGCATCTCACACCAATGCTTTACTTGGTAACATTCCAAGAACACTGCTTTTAGACCAGCTAATTCAGCTCTGGCTTTTTCAATTCTGGCTTTTTCAAGTCTGGCTTGTTCACTCGATCACTCTCTGACTGTGGTTGACCTAATGGTGAATCGTTTCGGATCGCAACAGGAGTTTCCTTGCTGTTATTGGTGACACACATCCGCTTTGATGCTGGTGGCATCTTCAACCCCATCTCACTTTGTCTCTTGCCAACTTCATAGGATTTGGATCCAGAAGTCGTTTGGAAGCCCTGCTGCTGTTCTATGTCAGCAAGAAGTTCAGCTGATCAAGTTTCAAAATGATAAAAGGAACATTGGTTACTGGGTTAAATGCGCCGTTGGTCGCCATGGAACATGCCTGTGCTTGCGGTTCCGAGCAGCAGCAGCATTAGTAGCATTGGTACTATCTACTGCCGGATCGCCGTTGTACGATTCGTAGTTCCGCTTGCCATTCAGAGCGAATTGGCTATTCTTCATTTTGCTCAAAGTATCATACTCCTGCAATGAAGCTAAAGGTTTAGAATAATTCGAGTAAAACAATGATTCATAACTCACTTGCGCTCTGGAAAGGGACTGTACTTCGTCTACGAAACGGCTCGCTTGCGACGGTGGCAGATTTCTTAGAATCTTCTCTTGCTTCCATGGCACGAATTGACTCGGGCATATTAGCAACAAGATCACATACCTTGCTGTAATCGAATTTACAATGTGTTTTCCCCGGACAAAACTAACTGCCGATCCTGTTCTGATGAATCCTGCCTCTGCTAGCTTCTTGACTGAATATATATCCAGCTCCCCAAGAGTCATTCTAGATGTCTCTGGGTTGCTTTTATGGTTGTCAATGATGTCTCGAACAATCTCTTGTTCCTTTTCTGACCATTTTGTGTATGGAAGGCGCTTTTTGACCTTTCGATTGACCTTTTGATTGACTTCTTGATTGACCTTTCGATTGACCTCTTGATTGAGTTCTTGATTGACACCCTGATTAACCTCTTGATTGACATTTTTGACACCAATGACATCGAGATTTGGTGATCGAAGTGTCAAGACATCTTCCTCTTCTGCATGTTTGTGCTCGTCTGCTTTCTCTACCTCTGCATTCTTGGCGAGAGCTGGTACCTCCTTGACAGAAGTCTCATCAGGTGGCGCCATTATGCCGAAATTTGAGGTCGTAGATTTGCTTTGTAATCGAAAGAATGAGAAGGGTGAAGATTGAAGAGACGTAACTTCAACGTGCACAAGGTAGCAGGTGACTTGACGATTTGATTGTATTGGGAGTGGGTGTTGATGGATGAGATGATGTCGTTTGAAAGGAGTTCGTGCTACTCAATTCTCGACACAAGGCTTGTGGGAAAAAACAAAAATTGAACTCGACGTTTGAATGAAATGAATTTTGCGAACAAGTACACTCAGAGTAGAACATGGGCAAAGCGCGTAAAAAGGACCCCGACACAGATGTTGGACGTCAGTTGGTCCAAAGGTCGTTGTTGAGAAGTAGATAAAAGAGGGATTTGGTCGCGAAAGATAAAAGTGCAATATTTTACTCCTCTCGGTACCTCCCACTAGCGCATCAGATTTTCTATCAAAACAAGCGGAATAAGTGATTCCCCGAAGTGGTATCAAGTGAATGAAATGGCGGTGCATAAAGAAGTGGTTGAAAAAGGTTTAGCTTCATATGGGAATAAGTAGATAGTCATTTCCTGAGACCTTCGGACGAGGAGAGGTGGCACCTCGGAGATTGCTGCTGGGTGTGGTTGACTTTAGAATAAGATGAGGGGTTTTTAATCATGACATTGACTTATTCATTGAATCTGTTCTATGTAGTGACTTGCAGAATGACAAATTTCGTGGAGTATCATGTGTCAACCGTGTGCCAATGTATACATGAAATGGCGAAACCGTTGGGCCGGTGCTCTTGCATCAAGAAGCTTCATGATTATTCACTACGCATCAAGTCCTAAGATAACCTTTGTACCCAGTATTTTCGTAGATATACGACTCGAGGGTAGATTATCTGTGGCTTTGAAGGTTGGAGAGTGTCTTACGCTTTGTGATTGTGAACTCATCATTTGTGAACTCATTGTTGTATCCTTACTAACTGCATCTACTATTTGTCCTTCATATAGCGTTTCTTTCTTAATCTGATTACAAAGAAGAAGGGCGGCCCTCGCAGCTCGAAAACAGATCAATGCTAATGACACATGAACATCTTTTCTTGTCCTCTTCTCTACAAGCTTCCGATTTGATTGAGTCTAGTCCTCAATCGAGCCTCGACCTTGAATTCCTCGTCAACTTTTTTCTGGGTTCCTTCGCCGCCTCTCGCCCCATATCCGCACTGGTTTGATGTCTAATTGTTTCCAATTCCAGTTGCTTTCGTCTATCGATCGATGCTGAAATTCTTTCCTCGATTCTGCGACGCTGAACGAGCACCATTTCTTGCATCTCTTTGAACCCAGCCTCGTCATCTGAATTCGGTGCATCTTTCATGGTGCTTGTGGGGCGCATAGGTGAACCGTTGATTTCGATAGGGGCATTCGATCCAATAAAGTCTTTGTCGGGTGGGTACAGTCTCGTGGGGCTTGGAAATGGTGGTGAGGCAGAATGCTTACGAATATAATCCTAGCTCTATGTTAGCAATGATCAAACACGGTATATACTCATTCCCGCTCACTTGTTCGATACCTGATGGTAGCTTAGCACTCTTCTCATCATTATTAAATGCTATGTGGGAGGAACTTGACAGTCTGAGTTTCTTTGTGTCCCTCAAAACATCATCTGCTCGAGCAACAGTCGACTCGTTACCATCAGCGAACTCTGCTTCCAGTCTTCCAGACTGCTTCCGTTTGGAATTTTCGTGGTCTAACGCGTTTTTTGCCATTTCCTTCTTTTGGGTGGATCTCTTATTTGCGAAATAGGTCTTAAAATCTCGTTAGAAACTACAAACTCTTGGGATGTGTGATGAGAACTCAAACATACCGAAACTTGGAAAATACTGATGCCATGATCCTTCGCAACTTTCTCCTTTTGCTCCGTGGATGGATTGAGTGTTTCTTTAGCTAATTGACTCAGTTCACTTATCTGGCTAGGTGTAAATCTTTTTGACTTCTTGACGTCCCCAACTGCTCTTTCATTGGTCTTGAAGGAAGAGTTTATGTCCTTTGCATTGCGTGCATCATTCGTCTGAAAGATAGTTAGAATATTTGATGTGAGTCGTAATTTGAAAACTGACCTTGAAATCTCCAACAATTCGCTCATCATAGTCCCACAACTCGCGACCTGTGGTATTCCAATAGTGATGACAAGCATCTGAAGATCTAAAATAACCTTTGACTCTGTGCAGTGCGGTTACATGATTGAAAAGTTGCTTTGCATTAGCAAACTTTGATGACCCCTCTTGATTGCTCAATTCCTGAAGAGTTTTGATATTCTCGTAGAGGGTTCTCGATTCTTCTTCTCTCCATATAGGTCTACTTATCTTCTGGTTTTTTATCAATCATGCTATTGGGACCTTTGTCAACTTCATCTTCATCTGTGATAAAGTCTCCAGTGTCATCAAAGTCATAATCCCAATTCGAGCCATTTAACAATGTGTTGCCACGCAGCTTTGATTGGTTATCGCTCATTCGACGCCATTTACTGGCACATGCACCACCAGTTCTTTCTATGCCAAATCCCAGTCCATTGAGTTCGATGGCTACCTCGTCAAAGAGATTTCCTGTATGAGTTTCACCGTCTTCAGCTTTTTTCTTGTGTTTATTGACGAGCCGAGCTAGACATTCTTCCTCCGGCAAGCTCCAATGCCAACGCACAGCTGTTTCTGCCAACTGTTGTTCTGAATCGGCTTCCATTTTTATCGATGGGCTGCAAAGTTGAGAAGTTAGTATCCACCTTCAGAAACAAATTGATACCGTTGAGCGTAAGACAAGCAAGATGATAATACTCACGAAGGTTGTATAATAAAACGTTGGCGGACTCCTCGTTGCTGGCGAAGACCGAAAGTTGTCGAGCTTTACAAAAAACAAAGTAGGAGATAATTCAGGTCAAAGTTAAAACTAAATTTTCCGAACTAGCGATGATAAACTACTGTCAGCAAAGCTGAAATTGTATGATACGTTTTTTGAAAGCTAAGATAAACGAAGTAAAGTGGACCAACAAGATCGATGTAAGTTTGCCCTCATGTCTTCGTCGAGTTGTGATTCCTACATACCCAGGAAATTGCCACAGACTTTCCTGGTATCAAAATGTGCAACTGAGCCTGCTTGAATATAGCTGTTCAATATCTATCTCCCTTTGTGTTTTCTGACGTGGCTCTGGCATGGCTGCCAAAGTGCTGTGAATTGCCAAGCCTTATTTTCATTGCCGAATGAATTCAGGGGAAAATGTTGTCAGTATCTTGTAGTATTGATCTGATATTCACCAACATCTTGTGCTTACCCCGCATCTTTGGATTAGATTAGTATCTAAGTGCTTCGTTATCAAATCGAAATCTTTGCAGTAAGTATGCGGAGTAATACTGGCCTTTTCTCTTCTTCTCCTAAAAATACCAAGTGCTTGAATCTCCGCCACCTTGACCCGTCATTATGACCAAGAAACTCGGTCTCCAAGCTTTCCTTCGCAGGGAGGTTATGAAAGCTAAGCTTCAGGTCCCCACAGAAAATGAATCCCCAAAATTTACAAAGGAGGCATCTGTGCTATCAGCCCAGCCGAAAATATATGAAGAGCCAGAAAGAAACACTTTTCGGAACAATTTTGGTGACAACGAAGAAGACTATGAGGCCCCACTGGAAAGATTGAGAAAGTCAAACACACCATTTGCTGTTAGGTATGAGACGAAACAAAGTCTGAACTGAGAATTCGGATCGAGGAACTTAGAAAGCAACTTCTCGCTGTCATTGATACTTCCTTCAAGGATCCGCGTGAGAGAGCTATCAGTGCTAAACAGCGCGATCGTCTACTAAGATCCATCGAGCGCTTAGAGGCTCAAGAAAAAAGAAAGAGAGATAATGCACTACGAGGTGTGTGTTTTGCCTAATATCCAAACCTTTTTTGATACTGATAAACCGGGCAGCTACTGGAAACCTCCCCGAGCCTATCTCCGAATATGAAAAAAGACAACAACAAAAGGAATTAGAATTAGTAAAGAATGCCCTAGCGGGGAAAGAAGTAAGACTCTTGCCATCCATCCCTTGTTCCTTGTTATTCATCCACATGCACTGATCAATCCCTACTCCAGAAAGCCAAACCCCCAATCAAACGTCCCTTTCGTCCACTCGACGACGATCCAGATGGCGAAACTCGGAAAATGCTAGGACTGCCACTGAGAAGGCGCAAGCTCAAGAAAACGGGCAAATGGGCAGATGAGCTTCGTTATGTAGTTCCGGAGTTAAGGTATAAGGATTATGGAATTGAGACTTTGAAGGAAATTTTTTTATGCGGGGCGGATGAGGAGCAAGAGATATGGCTGGGAAAGTGGTTTAGTAGATTGGATGTGAATGTTACTACAGGTGGTCGAGTGAGAGTTTCCGCAAATAAGAGAGGCATGCGAGGAAAAGAGAATGGCTCGACCCTTTTATAAGGGTTAGCACGATTTAGAACACCTATCTTGGCGGTGCTTCAGAGGTTGCCGCGTTGGATTTTGCGGGCATATGACAACACTTTGGTTACAAATTTGCAATGCAAGCTCCTACACCATGAAAATATATAGAACTATTCTCATATGCTACATGAGCCATCAGATTTTCCAGGCGTTGCTCATTCATTCACCACCCAGTTCCACGCTCCAGTCTCCGATGTATCTATCAGGTGATGCTTCAATAGTCGGATCAAATGGAAGCGGATGTGTTATGTAAGTCATAAATGAGGCCAGTAAAATGGAAAGCGCCCCTGGATTTGCAGCTTACAACGATATTTCAGCATCACCTGACCCCCCCCCCCCTCCCCTTCCTCCCCCCCGAGACTAGAATTCCAATAATAAAGAAAAAATCACCAGAATCTAAGTATCGAGAAGATTCCTAGACAGTGCAGGGGACCTCTACATCTCAACAGTCGAAGAGTCTAATCGAAGTCGCTGAAATCGAACAAAGAAGTCTACAAGCAGAAATTGACGATCGCCTAACAAAGTCACGAGGGGAGAAGCCAGTTCACAATCAACGAGAAGATTTGTCGTAGGAAGTTAAAAGATTATCTACACTTTGAAAAATCCTTGAAATATACCACTTAAAACTCATTGCAGGTGTCCTTGAATGCGGACTAATAAAATCTTTGGGAAAGCAAGCAAATGAATCAGCTCGCCTCTTCTTGCTCGCTACTATATACATTTAGGGTTCTGTATATGTGAATGGGTGGACCAAATGAACGAACTAGGAGAGGGGACAATAAATTATATTCTGGTCGATAGTAGAGGTGTTGAGAATAAATCTTCGTGAATTCCTAATGGCAATGTATCTATGCCTTGAGATAAAAACATAGTTCTTTTGATAAACATTCACCATGAAATTTAATCCTACATAAAAGAATGGATGGATGGATGCCCTGTCTACCTAGGTATCTAGGACAAAATCGCGTGTGCATGTGACTCTTCAGTTTAGACCTATCAACACGCGCCTCGATACGTTAAAAATAGACTTTGCGCGATAACCCTGTTGCGGCACAGCACGTTTGCTTTTACACGCCTTCCCGTTTTTCCGTGTGTTATCTTCAAATACTTTCAGACATCATAGAACTTCATCATTGAATAATCGCCAGCTCGCCCGTGGGCAGCAACTTAAGAAGGCTTTATACTTTGAGCTTCTCATTGTGTACTCTATCGACTGATATCTCTTTGCTACCCTAACTACCTTTTAACTTTCATTAAACTTCTAACTGTTATTTTTTTTAGATCATTTGCTAGTATCAGAAGATTCTGCGATGGGAAAGGTTAAAAGATGGCATTCTGAAGAGATTGCCAAGCTAAAGGAAATTTGTAGTCGTCAGGAACATGTTGACATACGTGGAAAGAACAATCCATTCTGGGAGAAGGTCGCCGATGAAATGGAAGAACACGGATTCAATCGTCAAGCAAATGCCATTCATGTTAAATGGATGCGTCTGATTAAACCACCTAGAATGAAATCGTCGAAGAAAGGTCCATCTACTCCTTGGGACTTCAGTGACACTGAAGACGAAGAAAGAGACGAAGAGGGAATTGTAGACTTCGATGGAGAGACTGACACCAAAAGTGACGTTTTGTTCCAAATTGAGTCCAGAGAGGATGCTTCTAAACCTTGGGCGACAGGAAGCAATTGGTCGGATGAAGAGAGTGATATTGTATACCAATGCATCAAAAGTCAACGAGACAAAGAGAAAGAACTCAAACTGGAACCCATCACGGCGGATCAAATTTGGCGTATTGTGGCAAACGCTTTAGAACAACGTCAGATCTACCGAAAAATTCCAAACATTTACATCTACTGGAAGAACAAGGGGAGAGAAAAGTACAACTTCGATGAAAGAACTCCAGATACGATTGAGAAATCCTCGCGTGGAATAGTTCGAGTGCGTGGAGGGAAATCCGCACAAAATTCTCCGGGGCACGCAGCGCATAAAATTGACCCTTGCTATTCGATTCCTCAATCCTCGACTGGAGAATATTTCCAGGTGATTATTATTTAAGCTTTCGCACACAATAGTTCAAAGATTGTTGACAATGTTGGATTAGCAGAATAATTCGAGAGCTGAGACGGCTATGAGAGATGTACAAGTCCAGGCTACATCTCAGCAGCATGATCTTCTGATGATTGAGTATACAAAATACAATCACCTAGATAACCCTGTAGTGAACAAGTTGGAAGAGGATACAGGTTTGAGCAGAGAGCAGATTAAGGTACGAGTGCATTGATTAGGTCATTATTCGAGTCCATCGTCACTAATGAAGGAAACTCAGTTGTGGTATAGAAATCAGAGAGCTATAGATGCGAAAGAAGCAGACATTCAAAAGGAAGTTAAGCTACAGACCGAAAAAGATCTATCTACTCCCATTCTCGATGAACCAGGGGTTCAAAGTATGGGATTGAAGCGATATCGCGTGTCAGACATTGGTTATCATCTTCAAGAAGAGGAAAACCCAGCCAAAAGAGTTCGCCACAGCCTGGGCCCGGAGATTTTGATGAAAAATCATGGGGGAATTCTGGTTGACTCGAAATCTCAGGCAAGTTCAGAATCCTGTTCTATTTTGACCATTCGATCGCTGCTTCTTTGAAGGTTTCTCTAATATATAATCTTCAGGACAAACCCGAGACTTTTGGTCGTCGCTCAATTATACCAGAACCGAATGAACCTTCAGCGAATGATGTTGCAATATCAACTATCGAAGTCCAACAACCTTCTCTCGAGTCTGCACCACAAAGAAACATTCCGGACAGTACATCTGATGTGACCACCGTTATGAAAGCAAATCGGGAAATGGAACAACAAAAGGTACACGCGGCTGAGGAGGAATACAAACAATTGGAACTCGCTATAGCTGCTCACAAGGAAAGAGCAGATCTGGAGCTTAAGGCTGCACATGCAAAAGAACGGGAGCTTACAGTTCAACGGGAAATTCGCGAGAAAGCCACAAAGCGTATTGCGATGATTGAAAGCTTCCTTGACGACTACTAAGTGTATTGTGCTGTAAGGAGGGCATTGTAATTTCTTTGGGCCGGGAAAAGTTTCATGTCTATTTCTTTACTTTGGTTGGGATTTCTCACTACTCCGGATAGTTTCCTTGATAATACCGACTTTGACAGATACCTATCGACATGTTTTCGATTCGTCCTACTAGTCTTGGGGATTTGAAGACCTTTTAAGTACCATGGGGTACTTGGTGTGGTTGATTTCTCTGTATGATCTTTAGGTATACATGTAGAATGACTTTAACAAAGGGGAATACATTTATCTCAATCTTAATCGTAATTCACCTTGCTAGTGCGCACTTCTCGATTCAGATGATAAGGTCTAACAATGCTGTAAAGAATGTGTGTTAGTGAGGCCAGCTCACTTAACCGGTCCATTCATGGTTCTGTGCGTGTAGATTACTATTTTGCCATTTTGATGTATGAGAGATCCTTTGGACTATTTGCGCTTGTGGACAGGCCTGCGGGGGAGAGAGATTATGTTTCGGATGATGTGGGGTCTCATCGGTTCATTGCTGAGTACTTGGTGAGACATGAGGGTTTAGATTGATATAATAGTCAAATAAACAATTGAAAGCATCGTTTGATCGACAAACTGCGAGGATGCTACGATTACAACCACTTGACTTCTGGGCTCAAAGTTCTGAACAGATTCGCTTTCAAACATTAGATAATACTGACAGTTACGTACTACCATACTCGATATCTCAGTCAAATCCATTCTTTTGATTATTTATATGCCAAAACTTGACGGTGCATTTTTATCTAAACATCAAATCACACGCTAACAATAGTTAAGAAGGATATGGAACGATGTTAAGAGCGTGCCCTAATGGTTTTATCAGACTAATAGATACTGTTAAGGTCTATGACTATCCCGATCCATGGTCCTCCTGTACCTTCATAAGTCTGGATCCCAATATCAAACTCAACCTGCGATCAAGAATTTAGATGAGCCTAGGAGATGTCTAATCGATGTATACTTGTGGCAGTATAACAGTTACGGCTCGGATGATTACTTTCATCATATCCCAGTGCCAGTTCCAGATACGCCGCTGCAGTACTGCCAAGCCGCGGGTAGAAACCCCAGGTACTTGGTTGCTATACTCTTTGGCGAAAGACATACGAAAGTACCCTAAGACTTATAAATATAATGATACAAAATGCAGCTGGTGCAATAGCGAATAGAAAGTGTGAATAGAAAGTGTGAATAGAAAGTGTGAATAGAAAGTGTGAATAGAAAGTGTGAATAGAAAGTGTGAATAGAAAGTGTGAATAGAAAGTGTGAATAGAAAGTGTGAATAGAAAGTGTGATATCACCCAAACGTGAGAAGCAGACAATCGTCTCAACAAATTCGAACAATTCAACGCATTGAGAAAATCAGGTTTGCCGAAGCAAATTTTTTCCACAGGAGAACTTCTCAATCTAAAAGGCTGCACAGCTCATACGGCTTTTCGCGTTACTGAGAAGTTCGAGATTCACTTGTCGCGTCACCCACTACGGTCCATACGGTTCATATGATTTGCCTTCGCAACGGAAGTTTGGAGAATCCACTTTGATATTCTGTCGAGTTTTCCACTACGGTCTATACGGCTCACAATCTACCTATCTTGAGAATGAACTCGAGAGCGCTAGCTCATTACTTGCTACAGTCTGTACTGACCCTTCGATTCTTTAGCCACGATGTCCATACTGAACATAGACTCGGAAACGCTAGCGCGTTTCTCACCACGGCTTGTCCCGCTCATAAAATTTTCTCGTCGCAATGAACGTACTGAATATAGACTCGAGAGCACTAGCGTATTTTTCACCACAGTCTGTACTGTAAACACAGTTTTTCTCGTTGCTACGCGAGGTTGCAAGATAGATTTAACAACCCTCCTCGCACCGCTCCAGAACTTTATTCTCTCTCTCGCAACACACAACATCATACAATAACTCAATCGCCAGAGACAATCAGGTTGAAGTCCTTCCCTCTTTATTCAATACGCTCTCTGCCTCTACGGTTTACTACGTCTTTAGGCGAACTCTTGAGAATTACTTAAGGGTTCTGAATTCCTCTCTACTTTCAACATCTCACAACCACCACCTCCTCTCTAAACATAATTCAACATGGAACGACATAGCAGCATCAATTCCTTCGGAAAACGCGACAATGATGATCCACCAAGAAAAGAACCACGTATGTTAAAGTCACAAAGAGAAATGTTCGCAGATTATCAAGACTCAAGAAGAGACTCAGACTCGTACGCTTCAAAACACTTTGGAAGTACACCGAGAAGAGAAGTTGATAGCTATAGACCAAGCCATAGAACACATAATCCATATTTTCCTCGAGCTTCATACCGCAATCATGCGGTTCACCACCCTTCGCGCCTCGGTCCTGGTACACGTGAGACCACCACTCAGGGGTCAGAGAATACACGCTTCGACACCGCGAGAACTTCGCTTAGCGGTGTTGCAGGATCTGCAAACGCAACAGAAGAATGGGAGTCAGCTCCACTGGTCTCGCATCCTGCAGAAGTCGTTGCTTCCCCAGAGAGAGAAGAAGCCCCTCCATCAAGAGCCGAGGACGAGTACGAGCTCCTTTCCGAGCATGCCGGAGGCCCAATACGCCGCTTCACCAAGCTAATGTGTGACGTCATCACCAAAACGATTACAGAAAATTCGGGTAATAATTATTTGAGCGCGATAGAGATTCTCAGCAGAGCGTGCAATAACGTTGCAGTGAAAACCGGTACATTTCTCGAAGTACACGACTGTTGGTTGTACTGGCGCAAGAAGGGTATGCAAAGAGATATCGCTCCACGCTGGCCAGAAAATCTAGATGAGGTCGACAAGGAGGTGGAAAGATATAGGCAATTGAAGACTACCAAGTCTGAAAGCACTAAAGCAGCATATGTAGCGAGATTGGCCACAGCACCAGTCACCTCCGAGAGCTCTGTAACTCCTGTGACTACCGAGACTGTCGCGGCACCAGGCCCAGCCCGAAAATCTAAGCATTGGACTCAAAAAGAGAAGAACTTCCTTTTTGAAATGGTGAAAGCACGTGTAAATAAGGAATATCGTGTGAAGTCCATGAAGTACTGGTGGTCGATGGTCGGGGTAGCAATGAGAAAAGAAGGATATACCAGGAAATCGGATGAATATCGCGAGTGGTTTGAGCAGCATGGTCGCAAGCACTTCAGCTACCACGAAACCGGTTACTATTCGCAGCCTGGCGATCTTCGTGTTCACGCTGGCAGAATGCAACATGGGAATGGGATCATGACACCAGAAGACTCTCCAGTCGACGATGCTCCAAGGAAAAGACGAGGAGATTCGCAGCTTAATAGTAGCAGAGTGAGATTTAAAGTTTCCCTGGCGCAAAAATCGCCCAGGATTCCCAAGACGCCCAAAGCCAACAAGCCACGGATGGCAAGTATGGTAGCACATGACAACAAAAGTTGGGCGGGTGGCTATAGAGTTAAAGACAAGACGGCAAAAAGAGCAGAAGAGTACCCTCTACAATTAATCACGCCATCTACTGGCGAGCGATTTGAACCTTTCACTACCGAGCCGCGGGCAGCCTATGCTCCTCCTCCATCCCCAGCCGCCAGCCCGCCCGGAAGTCCTTTGTTCGTAACCGAAGACGAGCCGCAGATCGAGCCGCAGAACGAGCGAGATTCAGTGCCATCAGCTCGGAATTCGACCACTTCTCGCTTCTCCACTACACCTGCATTGGCAGATTATCAATCCATGATGTCAGATGAGACAACTACGCCCGAGGAAGCTTTGAAACCGGATGAGACAATGACGTCAAATGAGGGAGTATATTCGGGAGAGCCAACGACTGCAGACGAAAGAATCGATTTCCAAGAGACAATGTCAGAAGAGGTTGATGATACACCATCACTCCAACCGAACGAAACAGAGGATGCAGAGAACAGTGTACAATGGATTGGTGACGAGTGGGGCTTCGCCACTCCACCCGCAATGCGACCAAGTGGAACGGATGGTATGACACAGATGGATAATCACGGTAATTTCGATTCCAGCCACATCTCGGCAAGCACAGATTCAAGCGATCCTCTGACATTGGCAAACACCTCCATCCTTTGATGATTCCTTGACATCAAGCGAGACAATCGAAGAGACCCCATTGTCCCAGCCAGTCTCCACAAGTGATATCGAGTCCGAAAACAGCCACGGCTCGAAACCAGAGGAACAGTTGTTACGAGAACAGCAGGAGCGGACCGATCTCGAAATCGCTAACTTGCGAGCGAATTATTTGAGAGTCAAGGAAGCAAGAGAGGATGACATGAAGAAACTTGATGATACTGCGGAAGAACTAGATATTATGATCTTGAGGAGAGCCGAGCAGCTGGAAAGCCAGGCTGCTAATCTAGCCGAGATGCAAAGAATCGAAGCGGAACTCGAGGAAAAGATAAAGGTCAAACAGGCTTTGAGTGGTGCTCTTGAAGAAACTGGAGTTTTATGGAGAGGCTGGAGGGTAAAGGGCTTCCAATTGTCCAGGTTGAAGTCCGATGATCAGACGAAGTACTAGGTGAAGTGTAGGACTAGGAGAGTGAAGTACATAGCATGTCGTATAGCAGCGTTAATGATAATTTGTCAATATAAAATGCAAATCGCAGTGAAGAAATGACCGCAACCTCTGTTTAATTCAAGACACTAACTAAATATGCCTCTGAGAAAGTGCCATGATGCAAGAACGCTTGTTGGAAGCACAGGCCATAACGCCATAATTCTACATAGACCTTTCGTCCATTCCTCTGTGATAACTTCATGGGTATCATAAGCTTTTCCAGCCTTCCCTGAGCAGCTCGCTGCTGCATTTTTTAATATCCACCATTACATCCATTCAAAAGGACTCCCTACGACTCCCTCATTTTTTACTTCACTCAAATCCCACTAATATTTCAATTACCCCACAACCCTCTTGACCTTCTCCAATAAAACCTGACTCTCCCTTCCCAATTTTCTTTGCCCATTCTTTCCTCCACTTCTAGCCTTTGCCATCTGCCGCCTGAATCTCTCCCGCTCCTCAATTTTAGCCTTTTTCTCCCTTTCTTTCCTCTCAAACTCTTCTCTTCGAGCTTGCTGTTCTGCCTTTTGCTTCTCAGCAAACGCTAATTCTTTTGCAAAATACGCCGGCTTTGCTCCTCTCTTTTCACCTCTTTCCCTCTTCTTGTCCTTTGCATCTGCAGAATTATTCGAGTAACGTGGAACGGTTTTGGTGGCGGTATCGGCTTCAGGTTCATCAAGCATAGCTTTCCTCTGTGGATGGAGCTCCGCTGGTTCTTCTCCTTCGACAGCATCCTCCCCTTCCTCATTTTTTGCTACCTCGTCCTCCTTATCCTCATCATCGGCATATATTTTCCTCTCGTCCTTCAAAGGTTCCCTCGCCTTTATTTTCGCATACGACTTCTTGACTTTCGCCTTATGAATCAAGTCCTTCTTAATGGCAATGACCTTTCGACGCCAAGTTCCATCAGGCAAATTGTCGGGGCCAACTTTGAAGCCGTGGCGAGGTTTTTTGGTAGTTGAGTGTGATGAATTATCTTCTTCGCGGGGGCGCTTGGTGGGAGCCATTTGTGGAATTTGTTGAGTGGAAAAGCGTTTGTGAAATTGTAATACTGGGATGAAATGAAAAATATGAGAATCGAGGATGTAATGTGATACCTTGGTGGAATGAATTGAACTGGAAGGGTCTTGTGAGAAAATTTTAGTGGAGACTTATTACATATGCAGAGATTTACTAGATTCACACCCGATGACACCAAATTGAATACGAGTTAGCATGATATAATTGATACCTACCACTCTTCCATCTGTAGGGTACCCCGGTACTCAAGAGCGATAACGTAGAATAGTGGAATTTTAATGCATCCGCGGTAATCGTAGGGTTATCAGTTTGGGAGAGCAGAGTCATCATACAGCAAGCATATACCGGTCTGTACATTGAAGACCTCTAGGTTTTCTTTCCTCTCTTCCATTTCTTGTCTTCTTTATTATTTACATTTTTAACTATCATACATACATATACATATATATATATATATATGTATGTATATATCTATACATTTATATCGAACTGTTAAATTGCATTCTCATTACTGAATTTAGTGAACGCGCATCTTCCAAATTTCTCTCTTATTAACATCAATTCCCATCAAATATCAGATCATCTCATCCTCTCATTCGTCGTACAAGTCCTGCATACAATACGACATCACATCGGCAGAGACAAAGGAATAAGGAACCACCACTTGTCCCCCGCCTCGTCACAACATCATCCCTCCAAATCCACATCATCACAACAGATAAAAGCTCTCTTCCACCCCGAAGTATCCAAAATTTACGTTGAAATGTTCTTATAACCAAACGAAAAGGAGCAAATTCAAAAGGCTCCATTCACACATCCATTCATCATGCCCATATTTCAAGATGACCTCGGTGACGGCCGAGAGATATTGCCCATTCAAAAACCAAAAATGACGCCCGTTTCAATGTCACCACCGGAAAGAAGAACGATCATGAGGAAAGATAGTGAAGAAAGCATTAGAACGGAATTATGTGAAGGCCCTGTACCAGATACCCCCGAGGGATCAAAGACTATACCGACTTTGGGTTTGGATACAAGCTTGAAGAATTCATACAGCGGAACATTGGACAGAGGGGATCTTATTGAAAGGTTGAAAAGGGGCGAAAGTTCGAGTTGGTTCCCGAATTTAAATGTGTGTGAATCATTGAGCTCCAATGCATGTGATTTTATATTGACAGTGAATACAGTTGGAGTCCCTACTTCATGGACAAAGCCCAAAAACTCCCATTCGAAAGACTTCGAATCATTCGAATTCATCTCCCCTATTGCCATCTCCCGAAATATCCAATACTACCAGACCCTCGTCGGTAGACAAACCTAGCTTACAAGCTGGTCTGGAGATTGAAAGACCAAGGTCCGCATTACACAGTGGGAATTTCACGGAAGGCCCACAACAAACTATATCTGGCAGTCCTGCACAGGATATGAAGAGATTTGGCACAGTAAATTTACCATGGCTAGCTACATCTCCACCGCGAAATTTTACTCCCTTTCAACTCGATCCTCGGTTTCCATCAGTGGATAGAGCTGAAGCAGAGCTAAGAACAAGAACTCGTGCACCATCGTTATCCTCTTCATACTCTTCGAGCTTTGTATTGAAAGCACCAACAAGCCCTCTAGTACAATCAGAAAGTAACGACGATTTAGATTATACGTCAAATTTAAATCCAATAGACATTTCTCCCGGGACACCTAAAACTAACTCAAGACGTCATACTTTGCAGGCTTCACATTCAACATATTCAAATAATTCTATACCGGGATCCACTGCTTTTAACAAACCTTTACCGAGTCTTAGGAGAGATAATACATATCCTTACCAAGCTCATCAACCTCGGAGATCTCTTGCCTCCAACACAATGCCCCACTCGACATCTTCTCCGCAAACACCGATTTTCTCGCGGTCTAGGAGACCTTCATTTTCAGATTTATCACCTCTGCATGCTTCGATGGTGGGATCGTACGAAGAGAGTATCCTTCGGGGACGAATGTCTACTACACCCTCGAAACCACTCGATTTTGTTGCTCAAATAGGGGTGCTGGGGTTCGGAAAGTGCAAACCGAGTCTCAAATGTCCACCTCATGTGACCCTATCATTTCCGGCAGTATTTTATGCCTATGAATCCACAAGTCATGGTCGGAGAGGGAAATCTGATGATGGGCCTAGTCCATATGTTGGCTGTATTGATTTAGAAAATGGATTGCCGAGCCCCGAGAAAGCCAAGGATAATCAAAAGAGGAGGAGAAATGCTACGCTTGACCGAATACATACGGATGATCTCGATACCAACCCATCAAGTTCAGGACAAGTCTCAGAACGAGAAATTCGTAGAGCAGGAAAACAAAAACGTCGATCCACTTCTCCACGAGCACCTCCGGGTGGTAGCTATCGTATCCCCGAGAAAGGACAATTGCAAATTATCATCAAGAACCCTAACAAAACAGCTGTCAAATTGTTTCTCGTCCCATATGATCTCACTGGAATGGAACCTGGCACTAAAACGTTTATCCGTCAACGGAGCTACTCTGCCGGGCCTATTCTTGATTCGGCACTTTCATCTTCGCCTCATCGATCCACACCTATCATTGATCCACTCGCTGAAAGACCTACCCTCCGCTATCTAGTTCATATCCATATTTGCTCACCAACTCGAGGTCGCTACTATCTTTACAAAAGTATACGAGTCGTCTTTGCCAATCGTGTTCCAGATGGTAAAGAAAAGCTTCACAACGAAATCACATTTCCAGAACCGAAATTTACTACTTATAAAGCAATTCGCGATTCGAGTTTCGGAGGTGCAGGTGCGGCATTGGCGGCAGAAAAGGCGTTTCGGAGGAGAAGTTCTGGATTTCCATTGAGTGGAAATAGGAATTTTGATTTTGGAGGTGATGACGGTGCATCGAATGGGGGAGTGGTGGATCCTATTCCTTTTCAATTTCCTGCGAAGAGGGGTATGACGGACGGAGATAGTGATATTGGACCATTGGATTTGGGGGCAAGCGAATCATTAAATTCGGATTATAATTCGAGACCAGGTACGGCGTTTGGAGAGGTAGAAATGGGTGGTATGAGGAGTGGGGTAAGAACGAGATTATATGAGAAATTGAAGAAAGGCGATTTGGGTTATGGCAGTGATGGATTCTCGCCAACGAGAGTCAACACTCCTGATAGAGAGGGAAGACAATCTCCCGCCGAAGGATTGTTGGCAACAAGATTGAGAGAATTAGGTGTAGGGCTCTCGATGGAGATGGCTGGTGGAAATGAGAGAGAAGGAGCGGGTCTTGAAAGCGAGAAGCTAGGAGGGGATTCATAGGCATTACTAGGATCGGGATTTGTGAATATTGTGATTACATTACTCGGAGTATAAACTAGCTGGATTAGTCTAGGGTTGGCTTTTTGGGTTCTTGACATGTAGCAATTTGGTATCGCATCGCATCGCATCGCAAGATATGGCATCGCATGGGTATGGGAATCGTTTGGCGCAGTGTGGTTTTCTCACTTGAAAATATTAGGAATCTGGAAACTGGAATCTGGGGACCTTGGAATAGGATGGGGTTTTATAGATGGAGATGGGGTTGAAGCTGAATATACTACTGGTGCTAATTTAGAAATATGGGATTTTATAGGGTGATCTGGGGTTGGATAGGTTAGTGTGTGTATGTATGTATTTATGTATGTATTTTGGATAATATATTGGATAGTATTGTTAATGAGGAACTGAAGATTTGAATAATTTGGATTGATTGAGTAATTTTATAATTGAGTGAATTTAGGGAGGGGGAGAGAGAGAAGGAGGAGAGAAGGAGGAGAGAAGAAGGAGAGAAGGAGGAGAGAAGAAGGAGAGAGAGAGGAGAGAGAAAGGAGAGAGAGAGGAGAGAGGGAGAAGAGAGAGGGAGGAGAGAGGAAGGAGAGAGGGAGGAGAGTAAGGGGAGTGATGAAG